TGTAACTGACTACATGTCAATAAAAAAAGTAAAGACGAGTGACTGCGTCCATAAGGAAATGGAGATGAACTCAGAGCAAAAGAGCGTTTCAGTGCAATGAGACACTTGGTAGAGGCTGTTCTCTAAAGCAGTTGTCTTGGAGCTGGGGTATATGGAAATCAAAGCCCTTCTGGGGTAAGGGAGCATGGCTGTCTTGTTTTAGAGGAAATCAGGATCCTTTGCTGAGACTGATCTCCCAGGAACACCTGTGATGGAAGGACCTGTGCTCCCTTCACCTCCCCCCCCGACAGTTACTCTCCTCCTTGCCCACACAGGACGGGGCGCGTTGCTCACCAGAGTAAAAGGTCTGTGGCAGAAAATAAAGGGACCCTTAATGGGAGTGACTCACTAGCAAACAAATCCTTCTGCAAGTCAGGTAGCTGCCAATTTTGGCTTTAAAAAAATGGTAGGAAGTGCTGATGTCAGGTAGTAGATGGTTAAAAATACATTTTGATGACAGATTAAATTTAGAATTTAAAGAATTGTACAATACTGTTAGTCAGACTCTATTATCATGTACTTACTTATAGAAACAAGTTTTCTTCGTATTGATGTTAGTGAAAACAAGAAATGGGATTAGAACTGATGCTAGAATCTCTCATTCTAGTAACAGGTAGCAGTCACCTACAGACACGTAAACTGATTGGGAAAAAAACTCATTATCTTTTTCATTAAGTTTTTTTCATTTTTACTGTTTTATAGGCAATAATCAGGTACCGAAATTTCCCAAATGTTTATGATAAGTTAGGCACTAATAGTGATCACAATAAAACTAAACCAGAGATATTTTCAAGTACTTTGAATCTTTTCATTACAGATCAATTTAGAAATTCGAAATTTAAAATTTAGATTCATATTTTTATTAAAGAAACGTATGATACAGTGATCAACAGAGGAATTTCAAATGAGACTTTTCAAGATACACTGGGGAGAAATTCCGTGGGGGAAGGGAATGGAAATATGAGTTCATGAAAAAGAAGAAAGAATTAAAATTCTCAGCTCAAACTGATGAGCTTGTTCATGCATTTTTCAAAGGGATGACGGCGGGGATTTAGGTTCCCCTGGAAGCATTCATAAGACTTCTGTAAGAGTTTTATTTTTTAAATGTCCGTATTTATATGATGCTAGAATTTTCATTGTTTATCACTATTTAAACTCACGATGGAAAACGTTAGATTTCAGTGTAAAAATGTGTGAGGCTTATCCGTTTTCATAACATTCTTTTTAGGGGTATGTGAGCCAAGAAAGTTTTAAAGGTCAGGGGTTCACAATGACTTTTGTCATGTCACATCTGACATGACAGCCCTTTTCCCTGTTGTGGTCCGTCATGTTTTAAGAGTAAGTGGGGAGTATTAGAGACAATGGCCTCTGTCATTTATCAGGTAGGTCAACAGCAGAGCTCTGCTGAGCAGTCACTCCACATCCAGTGGTTACAGCTGCTCTGCAGGCGAAGGTAGATGAACCCTCCGTGTGGTCAAGGAAACCATGCGTGGACCCTGGGAGGGTAAAGGGGGCCCCGCCGGGTCCAAACCCAGGCCCACCTGTTACCAGGACCCTGTTGACTCTGCCCTTCCTGGGAGGCTGGTCTGGTCTAATAACTCAGAATCATTAGGATAAGTCCATCCACATTCTAACAGCAGCAAGGAACACAATTAGTGGAACTCGTCACCCCCACGGAGGCCCTTCCTGGCTACCTCTCTCTCTCTCCACAAAGGATACAGAGTTAACCCTTCCCTCCTCACGCAGTCCCCACCCTCACACAGGTCACGGGGGGCTGTGACTTATTCACATGCTTTTCTCTCCTATGAGACTGTGAACCACTTGGGGCAATCCCTCTGTGTCTTCACAGGGTGCAGCACCCATTAGGTACCACTCAGGTCCTCGGCTGCCCCACCTCGCCCACCTGTGCCCACTTAACTCTGGGTCTCAACCTGGATGCTCATTAGAATGAAAAATCCTGACCCCCCCCAGGATGTACACACACCGGGCCAGCTAAATCAAGGGGCCTGGGGTAGGGCCCAGGCACCAGTTTATTTAAGACTTCTCCAGTGGTTCCAGTGTGTGGCTGAGGCAGAGGACCTATGACTGGAGTTGGCAGAGCAGGGAAGGTAGTGATGTGATGCAAACCTGTCTTCTGATTTCCAGACTGGGTTTCAGTGCTGACCTGGTCTCCAGCACACCGTGGAGGAGACGCCTGCCCTGTTTCCTAATGCCCCGCCTTATTCCTGGGTGGCCAAGTCTATGAAACTGCAGTCTGCACTTCTGAGCGATGTCCGCAGCTCCTACACTCCTCGGACAGCATCGAGACCACGGTTCCATTAGACTCAGCAGGTGCTCAGAGAGCCACGTCTCTGCAGAGCCCGAGCAATGATGGGGGTGAAGCCCCGGGGGACCCCAGTCTCAGTCCCTAGGCACTGGAAGGGGCACAACCCGCGGGAGCAGGTGAGCTCGCGTAAGAGTGCGGATGCGCCGGGCAGTCACAAGCAGAGAGAGGGCACTAGTCCCTCTTCCAGAGACAGGATCAGAGAGAACAGGCCTGCAGGGCTGCCTTCCAGTCTTCAGACCAGACATCTGGGGGAGGGGGGGGCCTCCCCTCAAGGCCGCCCTGAGAGCTAAGAGCTTGATGCACCTCTCAAGCTGTACGGCTTCCCGGATCTCTGGTAACCACTCCTGAACAGGGAATGGACAAGGCAGGGAGGGGACCTTGGCTGTCAGAGGCCAGGAGGAGTTTTCAGACTCCTGGGGATGGAAAAACCCCGTGTCGTGGCAGGAGGGGGATGCTGCCTTCCGTCAGTTTTTATTCAAGTGTTTCTTTCTGAGCATCACCCTCACTGACTTTGATGCGAGAATAAATTAATTCCAAAGCCCGTACTTGAAATCTCCTGACTCTGCCTGTTTCCTGTCTAACTGCCCACATAAAGAGAAACGGCACAACTTGCCAGTTTTCAGGAAGCGATTCCTGTGTGCCCATTTCAATGCTGAGGTGCCTCTTTATATGAAAACAAAACAAAACAAAAGCAAAGCTCCACTGAGCTGCAGGCACCTGATTTTCTGGGCCAGTTGGGGCCGATAACTTTGGTACTATCCTTTAAAATTTTTTAAAGAATCATTTGCGATGATTCTTCACATAACCCTGAAGGTGTCATCTCTTATTTTTATGTTGAATCTGTATTTTTGAGGGAATACAAAATGCTCCCCAGGCTTGGCCTGGCTCACATTATAAGGGGATAGCAGCTCTATAAGATGCACAGGTCCCTCCGATTGTCATGTCTGCACCTTGCCTGCGAGGGACTCAGGAAAGAGACGGTTGTGCTGCTTGTCCAGAGTGTCCAGCAAATCCGCCCTGGAGCCAGCGAGGGCCCTGGGCGTCGGCATCTCAGTCTCTGGCCAACACCCCAGTCTGTTCTGTGGCTTCATTATTGCACTGCAGAGTCAGAGCCAACTTTACCATTAAGCATCTATTGTACTCAGTGCTTTTTCCTACTTTCTCTCTTCTAGGAGCATTTCAGAATTTAAAAGTTATTAAGCATTCTGCAGATACTCTGTCCCTTCCTTCTCCCATAAGGATGTATGATGACTACGTTGTGTGTGTGTGTGTGTGTGTGTGTGTGTGTGTGTGTATGAGATACACAGGAGGGAGATCACTGTGTTGGTGTCTTGGGGGCGTCTGGAGAAATTTCTGACAGTAGGGATGCGATCTGTTGGTCATGGGAGAAATCCCCATGTGACACGGGTCTCTCCAGGAATCCTCCGTGTACTGGGGCCTCAAGAAACCAGAGCTAAAATTCAAGCTGTCTTCACAGTCAGTATCTCAAGGTTAAGTGTAAGGATCACTTCAACAAGGTAATTTAAAATGCTATTTATTGCCCTCTCTTCCAAATGCATAAGGGCCTGAGTGTTCAGAGCTGTCTGATTTTATTGGACCTGTTCTTTCATTCCCAACTGGCCGGGCGTCCACCTAAGTTTCTGGCGGTGACCAGGTCAAGTCGCCAGCGGGAAGGACCCTGATGGAAACTTTCCTGTTACCCGTCCTGTTGGTTTGTCTGCACGTTCTGGCCACTAGGTTGTGTCACTCCCTGAGTACCACGTTTTTAATACAGTTATCACTAATTGCCAGGCTAGAGAAACAGAAATCAGGCTATCCCATAATATCTCCCTGAAACTGGAAGACAGGGTCACTTTCTTTGTTTTCTTGGTGTAACAGGTCAGCTCATTACTGCTCACTACCAACTAGCCTTGTTTCACCATCCCATCAGAACTCAACTGAGATTCACCCATATTTATGTTTACATTGGTTCTGCCTCAAAGAGCCTTCTGGAACAAACAGGTGAACAACTTCACCTTAATCTGGAAATACCAGAAAGGCAGAATAAATTCAGTTTAATGTAATTTATACAAATCACTTCTTACAGGGAATTCCCTTGCTGGGCAAGGTCAATATCTACTGTCAAGTAAAAATAAATATAATACCAACCTGACTTTAAAATCATGTTTTCTATATCCACACATACAAACACACACACACGTGCTCGCGGACAGACACACACTCTCTACTAAAGTCATCAACAGCTTTTGTGGTCAGTGAGACCCCACGACTGCAGACTTCAGCTGTAGAGTGAGTGAAGCTGGGTTTAAATCTGCCTCCGCGCTGGGGCAGGGCCCAGACTGCCTCCCCTCCTGCAAGGTTTTTCTCTGCTATTACACACCAACCCACTGCGGAAGGGTCGCTGAGAGGGTTAGAACAGGGCCCAATAAACCAGTGATTCTCAAACTCTAAAGTGCACACAGATCATCTGGGAAGCTCATTAAAACGCAGATTCTGACTTAGAGTCTCGAGTTAGTCCTGACATTCTCAGTCCCTGAGTGACGTTGTGTCACGGGTCCATGAACCAGACTTTGCGTAGCAAGGCACCTCCTAAAACTTTACAACATGGAAACTCAAATCACTGTCTGGTGGTCCTGCCAGCCACTGAAGAGAAGAAAGTGGAGAAAGAATTATTTGGGTGACCTGGGTGGGAAGGGCACGAACTCAGTTCTCTAGGCTAGGAGAGGATAACACGTCTGGTCAAGGTTTTACTCTGTTCTTTCATAAGTCTCAGTGTGAGTCAGTGCCAGACTTTAATTTCTATTCATCTGTGAAAGGTCAGCCAGGGAGCACTGGTGAGGCCCAGGCTGACCGAGTCTCCTACCTGTCATAGTCTTGGCAAATCTCCCCCACAGCCACCAAGGCCTTCAGGTACTCGTTGGGCTGGTAAGGGTGGATGTAGTGCAGGGAGCAGCTGTTCCGGGGGTCCCCGTTGGAGGCAGTGAAGTCTATAGCTACCTGGAAGAGAAGACAGGAGGGTGGGTCGGCTGACCATGAACGGATCTCGTAGGAGCTGTCAGGAGAGACACATCACACAGCCGGCTGCCGATCGGGAAGTTAGGGAAGAAACTGATTAGCTTTAACAACTAGTTACTCATTTGGTTGAGGCCATTTCTGAAGTTTCCACACTCCCTCCCACTCCCCCGCCCCCTGACGCCCACCTCTCCCGGTCCCAGACCGAACTTGCGACTGACGTACAGGTCAGAAAGCCCAGCCTCTGCTGATCTACGATGTTAGGAGAGTATCTTAATTCACTAAGAAAATGTGTTCTGCAGGGGGAACAATTCCGTCTCAGAGGCATAGGGAAACTCTCTTAAAATTAATTCTGTGTTTAAGATGCGGCCTATACAACAAGGTCATCTTTATTTTCCTGAGTGGCTGGTGGCAGAGAGCTGTGTTGAAGTGGTTATAACAAAATTCCTGCTAGAAGCAGCCCTGTGCACGGCATCCGTCTCCTGGCTCCTGGCTCCTGCACGTGTCAGATCTCCTGCCTACGACAGAGAAGGTACCCTGACGCTGTGGCCCTCCCGGTGGGAAACCAAGTATCATCATCCTTGAACTTCGTAAATTTTTATGACCCCCACATCATCATAATCTAAGTGAAAGCTGACTCAACCAACACTTCTTAACAATAACAACAAAATGCTTGAGCCTGGAGGGGTGGAGGGAGTGCTAACACGGGAAGGCACGTTTCTTCTGATTTCTAACGTCGTCACCATTTAGACGCAAGTTAACCCAGCGAATATAACTGATGCAACCACTATGGGGAACAGTACGGAGATTCCTTAAAAAACTAAGAATAGAGTTACCCTATGTTCCAGCAATCCCACTCCTGGGCATATATCCGGAGAAAACTCCAATTTGAAATGACACACGCACCCTAATATTCACAGCAGCACTATATACAATGGCCAAGACGTGGAACCAACTTAAATGTCCATCAACAGATGACTAGATAAAGAACATGTGGTGTATATGTACACACACACACACACACACACACACACACACACACACAAAAGAATACTACCCAGCCATAAAAAAGTGAAATAATGCCATTTACTGCAACATGGATGGACCTGGAGATCATTATACTTAGTGAAATGAGCCAGACAGAGAAAGACAAACATATGATGTCACTTGCATGTAGAATCTAAAAAAAAGGACATAAAAAGGATACAACTTATTTACAAAACAGAAAAGGACTCATCGACATAGAAAACAAACTTATGGTTACTAGGGGGGAAAGGGAGTGGGAGCTATAAATTAGGAGCTTGGGATTAACAGATACACACTACTATATATAAAACAGATAGACAACAAGATCCTACTGTATAGCACAGGGAACTATATTCAATATCTTGTAATTATCTATAATGAAAAAAAATCTGAAAAAGAACAGATTTATATATATGAGTATAACTGAATCACTTTGCCGTACACCAGAAACTAACACATTGTAAATCAACTATACTCCAATTAAAAAAAAGAAAGTTACCCCGGCAAACACCTCTCCAAAGAAATGCTTAAGCTTGGGAGCAGAGAGTGGGGACAGAGGGGTTACAGTGGAAGGACCTGCAGGGAAGGTCCAGTCAAAGTAACCAGGAGAGAAAGAGCAACAGACAAGCAGTAATGATCCATACCGCCCACTGCTTTCTGTGGTTCCCATTGCTCAGAAAAATACTGAATCGTCTGATGAAACAGCAAAGGGACAGTCTCAAGTATATAAGAGGTAAAAGATTTTTTTTTCCTGGCAAGTGATGGTTTCTAAAGTCTCCCTGAAGAAGCTGGAGATAAAAATTTCTCTTCAGGAGATGGCCTTCTACCAAAACCCTCTGTGCTCTTTAAGTCAGCAGTGAGTGCAAAGAGAACAGAGTGAAAGGCTAGGTTTATTTTAAAAGCAACAGGGAGGCCGTGAAAGATGGGGTTAAGTTGAGGAATAAAAGCAAGAAAGTGACTGAAAAATGCCTGTGTGTGGAGGTGGCTCCCGGCTCCCTGGATGCCAGTGGATGCACAGCCGAGAGCCGTTTTCATTTTCTGCTACGAAGCCCTAATTAGGAAAACCCATGGTTCTGGGGTGTGCCTGGGGCAGCCTCCCCTTCAGCCCTGGAGGCCCCTCTTCATTGAGCAGGGCCACCAGGCAGTTGTGCAGAACCTTGTAAAGTGAGGGTGCAAACGCTGCTCCCTCCTGACCCGGGTCCCCGAGCGGGGCGCTGCTTCCCGGAAAAGGCTGGACGCCAACGATCAGTCTCCTTCTTTGGATGTTTTGAGCTGCTCACCTGAAACGAACGCATTTCTCAGATCCTCTCCCTGCCTGGGACAAGCGAGCCATTTGAGAACCTTCTGGATGTTTTCTGGGGAAAGCTCCTGTGAACCTTCTCTGGTT